GATCATGTGATTCAATAAAATCAAGTCTTTCGCCAGAGAATTGCATCAACACACAATAGTCAAGAATCCTGTCCCCCCAAAAAAGCTTTTGGATGCTAAAAAGTGTAGTAGTCAGTAAACTTTGGTTCATGATAATCTCTCCAGTATAGTACTGGAGGTTTTGGAGTTTACCCTGACACCTGTTGGTGTTTAATGGTTGCTGCCAGAGCTGAGCTTTCACCACGTGGGTATGTGCTGGTGTGGTTAATGGTCTATTCCTCTAGGGCTGCACCTGATAATTAAGGAAAAGCCGAACCATTTCAGGGAGCTCTCGAGAACAATCTGACCTCGTACCCCCTTACGTGCTCATTGACCAGGCGGGAGCCTTGGGTTCTGTAATCTCCGAGCTCGGGGTTCTCTCCCAGAACAGCATGCCAAACCTGTTAACATCGTTGAGCAATATCTAAGTGTGAAATTTTGAAACAGAATTTTTACAAAGTATGCTGTATACTGTAAATAAATAAATTAAAATAATATTAATAAAATAAATAAAAAGAAAAAAAATCATTAAAGTAATAATAATAAAATGAATAAAAAATAAAGAAGGAAAAAAATAAAACACAAGATAAATAAATTAAAATAATATTAAATAAATAAATAAGAAATCATAAAATAAATAAATTAAAATGATAATAATAAAATAAATAAATAAAAAAGGAAAAATAAGAGATAGAAAAAAAAGAAAAAAGTTATTTTAAACAAATTAATTAAAATAATTAAAATAAACAACCTGATCTCGTCTACCCTTTCATGCGCATTGACCAGACGCCTCAGGGTTCTCTTCCGGGACAGCATGCCAAACCTGCTAACATCCTTGAGCAATATATAAGTGTGAACTCTTGAAACAGAATTTGTACAAAGTATGTTGTATACTGTAAATAAATAAAAAATCATAATATTAAATAAATTAATTAAATGAAAAGAAAAATAAATAAATTAAAGTAATAATAATAAAATAAAATAAAAATAAAGAAGGAAAAAAATAAAACATAAGATAAATAAACTAAAATAATATTAAATAAATAAATAAGAAATGCTAAAATAGATAAATTAAAATAATAAATAAATAAATAGGAAAATATAAATAAAAGAAAAAATAATTAATGAAAATAATATTAATAAAGTAAATAAATAAATAAAAAAGGAAATAAAACATAAGATAAATAAATAAAATAATATTAAATAAATGATTAAATAAATAAGAAATGAAGAAACATATAAATTAAAATAATAATAATAAAATAAATAAATAAATTAATTAATTAATAAAAAAGGAAAAATAAAAGATAGAAAAAAAGAAAAAGAAAAAAGAAAAGTTATTTTAAACTAATTAATTAAACTAATTAAATTATCTTGTACCTCTTAAATGCGCATTGACCAGGCTGGAGCCTTCTTTTTAATTATCTCCAAGCTCAGGGTTCTCTCCTAGGACAGCATGCCAAACCTGCCAACATCATTGAGCAATATCTAAGTGTGAACTTTTGAAACAGAATTTCTACAATGTAAACTCGCTAAGTTTTTTGGTCAATTGAACTTTTAAACATGTTTACCGGTTGACATTCTTCTGATCCCTTCATTCTGTGGTTAGTTGTTTTGGAAGATATAAACAGATATTTCAATATAATGTTAACATACTTTCTCTGCGAAACGCTGGACATGCTCCACCTAAAAAAGAAACTCAAAATAATAAACTCTTCTGGATTTTCCAGGTTTCATAAGGGGGTTTTCACAGTGGTTGCTTCCCCAAAGAAATTTTCGGTCAACCTTCTAAAAATCTTCTAATCTAAATAATTATTTTAGTTCTCTCACAGCTGTGTGTAGTTTAGATAATAAATGACACAAAATACACCGTTTCTTACTTTGTTCCATGCGGAAAGGCTCATCCCTATGCCCTAATACAGGGATGCCAAACTGCACAGCCCTGCACAGTTTGGTTCCAGCCCTTCTTCAACACACTCACCTGTTGGTGCAGAATCATGGGTAATGTAGTATTTCTTTACAAATGCGGTTTCAAACCTTCATTTTTTTTTTCTTGTCGGCTTAGTTCCTTTATTAATCTGGGGTTGCCACAGCTGAATGAACCGCCAACTTACCCAGCAAATGTTTTACACAGCGGATGCCCTTCCAGCTGCAACCCAGTACTGGGAAACACCCATACAAACTCATTCACACACATACACTACGGCCAATTTAGATTATTCAATTCACCTATAGCGCATGTCTTTGGAAACTGGAGCACCTGGAGGAAACCCACGTCAACACAGGGAGAGCATGCAAAATCCACACAGAAACGCTAACTGACCCAGCTGGGACTCGAGCTAGCGACCTCGTTGCTGTGAGGCGACAGTGCTAACTACTGAGCCACAGTGTCGCCCAACCTTTATACAGTTCTGTATAAACAATGTAAAAAAAATGCTCACTGTCATAGTAGGGGAAAAATGCAGGGGATGTCAATGGTTACAGGTTTCTAATATTCTTCATACTATTTTCCTTTGTGTTCAACAGAAGAGAGAAAGTGAAATGGATTTAGAAGTAGAGGGTGAATACATGGTGACATAATTTTCATTTTTGGGTGAACTATCCCTTTAATAAATTTGAATATTATTAGAAGTCTTGTTACTTTTCTGCTCAATACCAATATAACAATAAATTAATAACAAAGAAAAAATATCAATAAATAAAAGATGAAATAAATAAATGAATTAAAATAGTTATAAAAAATGATGAAAGAAAAAAGGAAAAAAACTAAATAAATTAATTAATTTAAATAATATTGAACAAATAAATAAGAAACTTTAAAATAAATAAATAAAAATAATGAAATAAATGATGAAAGAAAAAAGAAAATATAAAATAAAATAATTAAAATAATAAAAAAAAATTTAATAAATAAGAAAATACAAATAAAGAAAAAAAATTAAATGAAATAGCAAATAAATAAATAAATGAGGAAATAAAACACAAGATGAATAAATAAATTAAAATAATATTAAATAAAAAATACAAAATAAGAAACAATAATATAAACAAATCAAAATAATAATAATAAAATAAATAATGAAATAAAAAAGAAAAGATAAAATAAATAAATGAGTTAAAACAATATTAAATAAATAAAAATAAATAAATAAATAAAGCAATGAAATAAATAAATTAATTAAAATAATATTGGTGGTTATAAGTTGGCGGTTTATTCTGCTGTGGTGACCCCAGATTAATAAAGGGACTATGCCGAAAAGAAAATGAATAATTGATTGACTGAATGAGTAAATAAATAAGAAACGATAAAATATATATTTTTAAATAATAATAAAAAAATTAAAATAAAAACAGAAAAAATATGAGACAGAAAAAAGAAAAGACATATTAAACAAATTAATTAAAATAATAAAAAAAATTATAAAATAATGATAATAATAATAATAATAAAATTAAATAAAAAATTAAACATGTCTTTTATGAAAAGATATAAATAAACAAATAATATTAAAAAAAAAGAAACTATAAAATAAATACATTTAAATAATAATAATAAAATACATAAAGTAAAAAATAAAAAATAAAATAAATAAATAGATTAAAATAGTCTTAAATAAATAAATAGATAGATAGATAGATAGATAGATAGATAGATAGATAGATAGATAGATAGATAGATAGATAGATAGATAGATAGATAGATAGATAGATAGATAGATAGATAGATAGATAGATAGATAGA